ACTCGACCTGCCATAGCGTGCACCACGTGTAGGAACAAAATTTTAACTATGGACATCGAAGAAAAAGAAGCATTCGAAGGAGGGATGCTAATGAATTCAATTGTGGAACCCATAATCGAATTACAAAACATCACGGTTGAATTTACATAAAAAAAAAAAAAAAAAATTAAAAAATTTATATATATATAATATATATAATAAAACCATTTTGCTCTAAATAATGTTAATTACTACTGACCCCGTTAAACGATAATAAATTCCGGACACGCATAATAAAGATAATAAATTCTAAATTACGTCGTAATCAGCGACGCCATGATTAATCGCGCCATAAGGGGGTCGTCCGGTGTGATGGGTCCAAAAAATCGAAATTTTTTTTTTCCGCTAGATTACTTCTATAATGTCTATAGAATATGCAGGTAAAAGGATTTTTCGATATTCGACGTCGTTAAAAAGTTACAGACCTAGAACGGAGCAGGTATTCGGAGCGCACGCCAGATGCGCCGAGCTCGCCGCGTTTTACACATGTTTGCGGCAGCTTATTTTTGAAGGTCGTCGAAGACAACTAGCCTACAGTATTTTACTTTAGTATAATTTATGATAGGAACTTAACCTCTGTGTGACCTGAGGAGGTTCTTTTAGGAATGACGGTCCTGATGTTTAACGATGGCCCTTGGCTTGACTTGGCCAGGACTGATTGCAGGACTGATTGTTTAAAAGGAGGCACGGGTATGTTTGGAAAAGGTAAGTAACCCGACGTTGTATTGCTTACAAGAGAAAAGAAAAAAAGTAGAAATGCTGTCCGCTGGGGATCTAGTTACGAAGAAGGGAAGGCGGGGGTGTCTTTTGGTAAAAATACTGTGACTGACCGCTCAGCATTTAGTTCAGTACCTCGTTGACAAGCAGTTTGAGAAAGCGAAAATGAGTGATAAGAAAGGAAGTAAATATTTAAATTTACATGCTGATCGAAGCAAGAAACGAAAATTTCATGGTAATCGGTATACGGCCGAGCAAAGTACGGAGTTTGCTTCAACATCGGCGAGAAAGCTGTTAAAAAATAAGGACTTTAACGTGGCAATTTCCCCAAGTTTTGTTTATTGCATCTTGGAATTCACGTCTGTATTTTCGGCTATTTCATCAGGTGTAATCTGTAAGAAATGTAAAGGTGAAGTGAATTTCAAACCGTCCAGTGTTCGAGGTGTTAGTTTTAAAATTTGTATGAGTTGCAAGTGTGATTCGCCACTAATGATTAATTCGTGCCCTATGATTAGAAATGCAGCTGAAATCAATCGGCGCTTGATTTTTGTAATGCGATTACTAGGGATAGGGCGTGAAGGGCTGAACATTTTTTGTGGCTTGATGGATATATGTCAAGGCATTAGTAAAACTGCATACTACGCGTGCTTAGAGAATATTCATACAGCAGTATCGGCCGTTTATGAAACTGTTTTGTTACAAGCTGTTTCTCAGGAAAAAGATTTGAATAAAGAAGCCGGAAAGCCAGAAGATGAACTGACAGTTTCTGGAGACAGCACATGGAAAAAGCGTGGATTTTCATCCTTGTTTGGTGTTTCCACACTGATTGGAAAATGTTCAAATAAAGTTCTGGATGCGTGTGTAATGAGCAGTTTTTGTGGTGGATGTAATGTATGGAAAGCAAAAAAAATGAGTGATCCAATTGGCTATGAAGAATGGTATGCTTCTCATCAGGATGGATGCACTATCAATCACACTGGTAGCTCTGGAAAAATGGAAATCGATGCCATCGTCACAATGTTTTCTCGATCTCTAAATAAATACGGTGTGAAATATGTAACATACATAGGTGATGGCGACAGTAAAACTTTCAATGGGATTTTGAAAATTGAGCCATACGGGACAGAGCATCGTATTGTTAAAAAAGAATGTGTTGGGCATGTGTTCGAACAACGGTTAAAATGTTTTGGAACGAGCGTTCTGTCTCGCTCGCGCGAATGCTGAGCATCTTGGCGAGGGTGACGCGGGGGGGCGGAGGTAGCCTCCAACGATATATGTCTTGGTTCCGCGACGATTAACTGACTCGTCGTTCCGAATTGTAATTATCAACTTCGGCAAACTAAACGATATTTCGCTTTTTCGCCTTTGAGATATCCTCGCGATCAATTAGACGAACAGTAGAGCGTACTGCTTCGGAGACTTCTCTCTTTTTATTTAATAAGTTACTTAGTTAAATTAAAAGACATTTTGATTTGTGTGTGTATCGTGCGTTTTAAATTTAATACTTTTGACAAATGTACAGTTCTTTTTTCGTTTAAAATATAAGTTTATTGTTCCGTCGGAAGTCCGGCAAAACCTATCGTTTTTTATTTCCGCGGGAACAATATCTAACTCCACGAGATTCCCGTCAAGAGCGATATTGCCCCAACATTTGGTCCTTCGAGCCGGATAATTTCGACGAACAATCTTGTGACAATTTTCGTGAGTGCTTGAAATAATCGTTCGAAGACTGCAACTCATCGCCGGTTCCTGCCAATCTTCACGACTTGGACTTCGTGGCTCTGGAAAGGAAAAGGAAGATCAGTTTTTTTGGAAA